GCTCCTCCTTCTTCTACTTTTTGAAAGAATTTGAGAAAGCAAGGTATTCTTTAAATATTGGTAGGATTCACTAAGGAAGACTTCTGAACTAGGCTTTTCTTTGTGGATAGTTGTGGGATTTATTTTTGGTTTTTTTTTAAACTAATTTAGTCTCTTTGCTTGTTATAGGTCTATTCAGATTTTTTCTCTTTCCTTGAGTCAATTTTGATCATTTCTGTCCTAAGAATTTGTCTATTTCAAATCTAATTACCTAATTAGATTTATCTAATTTGATGGCTATATTAGTTTGCGGGGACTGCCTTAACAAAATACTACACGATGAGTGGTTTAAACAATAGCAATTTATTTTCACACAGTCCTGGACACTGGAAGTCGAAGACTGAGGTGCTGGCAGGATTGGATTCTGCTGAGGCCTCTCGCCTTGACTTGCAGATGACCATCTTCTTGCTGCGTCCTCACGTGGCCTTCCTCTCTGTGTGTGGGCACGTTCCTGATGTCTCTTCTTCTTCTAAGGACGCCAGTCATTTCAGACTAGGCCCTTACCCATGACCTCATTTCATCATAATTACCCCCTTTAAAGGTGCTGTGTCCAAATACAGTCACAGTGTAAGGTTTTAGGAACTGGGGCCTTGACATACGAATGGCGGAGAGACAATTCAGTCTATAACAATGGCATACAATTGTTCATAGCATTTGTTTATAATGCTTTTTTTTTTCTTTAAGGTTGCCAGTGATGCCCCCTCTTTTATTCCTAATTTTAGTAATTTATATCTTCTCTCTTTTTTCATTGGTCAATCTGGCTAAAGATTTGTCAATTTTGTTGATTCACTCGAAAAACAAACTTTTGGTTTTGTTCATTTCCACGATTGTTTCTCTGTTCCTTTATTCCTTTCTGCTGTTGTTTTTATTCCTTTCTTTTTCTTTCTTTGGGTTTAGTGTGTACTTCTTTTTCTAGTTTCTTAAGGTGATTGATTTGGGATCACTTTTAAGGTGATTGATTTGGGATCATTCTTTTTTTTAATATAGGCATTTACAGCTATAAATTTCCTTCTAATTACTTTAGTGGCATCCCATAAGTTGTTGTATGTTGTGTTTAATTTTCATTTATTTTATTTTATTTATTTTTATTTATTTATTTATTTTGAGATGGCATCTTGTTCTGTCACCCAGTAGAGACGGGGTTTCACCGTGTGAGACAGGATGGTCTCGATCGCCTGACCTCGTGATCCGCCCACCTCGGGCTCCCAAAGTCCTGGGATTACAGGCGTGAGCCACCGCGCCTGGCCTAGAGTCTATTTTTTCTGAGATTAGGATGGCCACTCCACCTCTCTCTGGCTACTATTTATGTTGTTATAAAATTTTGCTGGCCAGGCGCGGTGGCTCACGCCTGTAATCCCAGCACTTTGGGAGGCCGACACGGGCGGATCCACGGGTCAAGGAGTCGAGACATCCTGCGCTAACACAGTGAAACCCGTCTCTACCGACTACAAATACAAAAAATTAGCCGGCGCGAGGTGGCGGCCTCCTGTAGTCCAGCTGACTCGCCGGAGCCCTGAGGCAGGAGATGGCGTAGAACCGCGGACGCGCCAGCTCTCGCTCGCGCTCGCTCCGCGAGGAGACTGCACTCCAGCCTGGGCGACAGAGCGACGACTCCCCTCTCAAGATAAACACAATAAATAACATAAAAATCAAACATAAACATACAAATAGGCCGCGCCGGCGCGGTGGCTCATCGCCTGTAACTCCCCAGCACTTTTTGGGACGGCCAAGCAGCGGGGATCACGAGGTCAGAAGATCAAGACCATCCTGGCTAACATGGTGAAACCCCGTCTCTACTAAAAATATAAAAAAACTAGCCGGGCGTGGTGGCGGCGCCTGTAGTCCCAGCTACTGGGGAGGCTGAGGCAGAAGAATGGTGTGAACCCGGGAGGCGGAGCTTGCAGTGAGCTGAGATCGTGCCACTGCACTCCAGCCTGGGCGACAGAGCGAGACTCTGCCTCAAAAAAAATAAAATAAAAAATAAATAAAATAAAATAAAATAAAATTTTGCCATACAGAAATTATTTATTTTTTGTAACTTAATTTATTAGTCTTTTGTTTATGACTTCTGCATTTTGATTAAGAGTTTGGCCTTTTCCATATCAAGGTGATAATTAATTTTTCCATATTTTCTATTATTTTTATATTTTCAGAGTCTAAGTTTATATCTTTGGTCCATTTGATTTTTTTTTTGACACCTGGTGTAAGATGCTGGTACAACTTTGTTTTTTTCCTGTATATATAATTGCCTCAATATAATTTACTGAATGGTTCTTTATTGCTGATTTGAGCTGCTACTTTTATCTTTTACTAAATTTTTATGTGTATTTCAATCTGTTACTTACTGTCTCTTTTGTTCCATTGTTCTGTTTGTACCAAGACCATAGTGTTTTATTCATTGAAGTTTTATAATATATTTTATTATATAACAATTCTAGCCTCCCCTCGTTTCTCTTATTTTTTAGAATGTTTCCAGCTATTCTTGTCTAATTTTTATATCAGCATTACATTAGCTTGCCTCATTAAAACATTCAAGTAATTCTAATAATATCTAAACGTGTAGGAATTTTCCTAGGATCACATTAGATTTATAAATTAACTTAGGTTGATGGGCATCTTTTTGACATTGAGTATTTCTGCTTGGAAGCTTGTTATGTCTTCATATTTGTTCAGGTGTATTTTCATAAGTTATTTTTTAATTTTAAATCTTAACAGTTTCTTTTCTTTTTTTCTTATTTGCGACAGAGTCTCGCTCTGTCGACCTGGCTGGAGTGCAGTGGCACGATCTTGGCTCACTGCAACCTCCACCTCATGGGTTCAAGCAGTTCTTCTGCCTCAGCCTCCCGAGTAGCTGGTATTACAGGCGTGTGCCACCACGCCCAGCTAATTTTTGTATTTTTAGTAGGGACAGGGTTTCACCATGTTGGCCAGGCTGGTCTTGAACTCCTGACCTCTGGTAATCTGCCTGCCTCGGCCTCCCAAAGTGTTGGGATTACAGGCGTGAGCCACCATGCCCAGCCGACGTTTTCAAACACATATAAAGATAGAATAATAAAGTAAACCACCACCATGACCTATCACCCAGCTTCAGTACTTATGAACACATAGTGATTGTTATTTAATCTGACTTCCTTCTTCACTATGTTAAGACAAATCCCAGATACTACGTCCAGAAATATTATAATGTTTTCTTCATGTAGTTGCATACGTTTCTTACTAAGCTTACTCCTAGGCATTTTGTTTAACTATGGATTGTTGTTTATATATATGAAGATTTATTTCTGTAGATTAACTTTATACCTTCTCATTTTTAGTACATTATTCTGTACCAATTTGCATTCATTGTTTTCAGACTATAAGATGAATTATCACTCCTCAAATTAGGGATATGCTAAAATTATAGATATGAACTAGTACAGAAAGCTACTAATCTTCCAAACAATATGACTGTGGCCTGAAACATGAAGACAAATCTGTGTAATAGCATAGCAGACTTAACTTGGATTCTTGTCCTGTAAGGCTCTGTTAAGACATGAAAAATTGGGGTCATCTTCAGTTTCCTACAACTTTGTAATGTTGTGTGTGCACTGGGTTCTCCCAGCAGACCTTAAATCACTCACTGGTGGGTAAGTCAGGCTCTCAGAGAAGCACATTAACTCTTCCAAGCCAGTGGGGGACGATTTCATTCTTTTGAGTTCTGATGAGAAACAATGATTAGATGGATCAGGAATCATGTTGTGGGATGAATAATTTTCTAGATAATTTCTAATGGAGCACCATTAGTAAGTATCCTGTTCCTCAGAGCATGCTCTTCAGACTCTCAGAGAGGTTTGACACCTTCCTGTGTTAATCGATCTAGCTGTTCTGCTGGAGTAGTCAGGGATTTGGGGTCTCTACTCATTTAGAAAAACTCTGATTGGCTTGAGTCTTTCTCTCTTCCACAGCCTGTCTCTGAAATAGCATGTGGTTTTCTGGGCTGAATTATTTTCTTAATCCAAAAAGCTTTCTTTTGGATATTCCTGGTGTTGCCGTAAATTAATTCTAGTTTATTAAAAGAAAAAATAAAACTAAAGCAACTTTCAGAGAAAAATGCTTTCTCCTACATTTCAGTGAGTTAGTTTGCATGACGCTTTTAAAATAATAAACTCATCTAGCTAGAGATAAATACATCTCATTAAAATCTGGCTTTGAGGCTGGGCGTGGTGGCTCATGCCTGTAATCCCAGCACTTTGGGAGGCCAAGGCAGTTGGATCACTTGAGGTCAGTAGTTTGAGACCAGCCTGGCCAACATGGCAAAACCTCACCTCCACCAAAAAATACAAAAATTCGCTGGGCATGGTGGCGCACACCTGTAGTCCCAGCTACTCAGGAGGCTGAGGCAGGAGAATCGCTTGAACACGGGAGGCAGAAGTTGCAGTGAGCAGAGGTCATGTCACCACGCTCCAGCCTGGGCAGCAGAGCAAGAATTCATCTTTAAAAAAAAAAAAATATATATATATATATATATACACACACACATACACACACACACACACACAAATATATATATACACACACACACAAAAATGTATATATATAAATATATGTATACACACACACATATATGGCTTTAAGGGGGACTGTGGAGACTAACTCCACAGTTAATTTTGACTAGGTTAAATGACTACTATTATTTAAGGTAGTAATACTTACCTTACAAAGTTGTTATAGGAATTAACTGAATTAATATATTTAAAGTGCTTAAAATAGCATGCATCACATAGTAACTTCTAGTGAGTGTTTGTTAAATAAGTAAAAAATAAAAAAACAGTATACATAGAAATGGACTTTTTTAAACATCAGAATAGTTCAAGGAAAGGACTGAAATTCTATAATCTGCTTTTTCTCAACTCTTGTTGAATTAACTTCCTTCCTGCATATATAAATAGTTGCTAATTTAAACAAACTCTTTCATTTTAAAGATTCGCCGATTCTCAGTCCAGCTAATTCTGCAATCAATTTAAGTGGAGCTCAGGACCTGACCCGGAATAAGAATGTTGTGAAACCACTGGCTTTATCTTTGCAGGTTGTAGGGAAGACTTTTGCTGCAGGTGATGTTTTCCTCACTTATATTTCTTTGGTAAATACATAGTCCATAAAAGACTTGTGTGACATTTAATTGACAAATTGATAGAAGAAAACAGAAGCTGCCTGTCCCTGCCAGTTGAAGAGAGAACTGGGGCTGTCTGTAATAACGTACTAGTGTGCGAAGCTTTGTGTTCCTTACATTCCAGCCAGAAGAGTCAGGGAATGACACTTGGTACTTGGAAGTGACATAACAATTTGATTCCATTTAACAAACATTTCTTGGGCACCTGCTTTAACTAGGAACTGGGAATACAAAGATAAATAAGGTTCAATCCCTGACCCCCAGTTTCCTTGTAATCTAGTGGGGGAGATAGACCTCTGACAAGATATTTTCAGTGTACTGTAGCAAATATGGCAATGTACAGAAGAACACAGAACAAAGGGGCTTTTTTTAGCCCAGCATTGTAGGAGTAATTAAGAATAAGTTCTCAGAGGAATCTGGTCTTTGACAATGAGGAGATCTTCACTGTACAAAGGAGTAGAGGAAAAGCAATTCAGATTCAGGGAACAGCAGAAACAATGGTTAAAAGGAAAAGAAGGGAAGAGGCGAAAGCAATATGATATATGCAAGAATTTCCAGCAATTTGGACTTGTTAGGACCATAAAATGTAAAACTCAAAAAGTGGCAAGAGGTGAGTAAGTGATGGTTAAGGGAAAAGTTATAGGCAGCCAGGCTAAGAAACGTGGATTTCACTGTATACTTATAGACCAGAGGAATGGCATGGTTCGATTTGAACTTGAGCTAGATCATTTTGGCTGTAATGTGTAAGAAGAAGACGAGATAGGAAAACTAGTTGCAGGTCATTTCAGTCGTCTCGGTGACAAATGATGAGGTCCTTGGCTAGAGTGATAATAGGTTGCAGAGGAGAGGACAAATTAGAGAACTACTCAGGAAGTGAAACCAGCAGGAATTAACTGATTAATGTGAACATCAAGGAGAAGAAGGGGTCTCAGTTGACATTCAACTTTCTGGGCTTATGTTGATGCCATCATCTGAGACAGGGGTACAGAAGGAGGATCAGGTTCTCCAGTGGGAGATTGTGAGTTCAATTTTGGAAGTGCTGAATTTGAGATTCCCATAAGACATCCACGTGGAGCTGTTCAACAGCCATTTAATTTATCACAGGGATAATTCAGGACTGAGGGTGTAGAGTAGAGCCACCAACATCTAGTTAAAGTCATCAGTGTAAATAGTATAAGCCAAGGAGAGATGTAGGCTGAGGCAAGCTGTGAACAAAAGATAGGATTCATCTGGGCACAGTGACTCACACCTGTAAACCTATTACTTTGGGAGGCTAAGGCAGGAGGATCATTTGAGGCTAAGAGTTCCAGACCAGCCCAGGTTACAAAGTGAGACCTGGTCTCTACAAACGATAAAAAAAATTTAGCTGGGTATGGTTGTGTGCACCTGTGGTCCCAGCTACTCAGGAGGCTGAGGCTGGAGGATGGCTTGAGCCTGGGAAGTCAAGGCTGCAGTGAGCCATGTTTATGCCACTGCACTTCAGCTTGGGTGACAGAGTGAGAATATAAAAATTAAAAAAAAAAAATCCTAAAAAAGTTCAGTGGTGGCTGTGTGTGTGTGTGTGTGTGTGTGTGTGTTTCTTTTTCTGAAACAGGGTATCTCTCTGCCACCCAGGCTGCAGTACACTTGTGCAATCTCAGTTCACTGCAGCCTCAACCTCCCAGGCTCAAGCAACCCTCCCGCCTCAGCCTCCCAAGTAGCTGGGACTATAGATACATGCCGCCGTGCCCAGCTAACGTTTGCTTTTTTTTTTCTTTTTTTTTTTTTTTACAGATGAGGTTTCAGTATGTTGTCTAGGCTAGTCTCGAACTCCTGGAGTCAAGTGATCAGCCAGCCTTGGTCACCCAAAGTGCTGGGATTACAGGCATGACCCATGGCACCCAGCCAAGTTTAGTGGTAAAAGAGAAGAAATTTTAAGAGAAGTAGAAGAAGAATGAGCATAAGGAGAGCCTGTCATTTTTGGAAACTTTTCTTTTTTCTTTCTTTTTTAATTATTGGTAGAGTCAGGGTCTCCACATGTTGCCCAAGCTGGTTTCAAACTCCGGGGCTCAAGTGATCCTACTCTTCCACCTCCCAAATTGCTGAGATTATAGGCGTGAGCCATGGTGTCTGGCCATTTTTGGAAATTTTTCAACAGTTAGGCATCATAATTTACACAGCCCACTTCTGTTCTTACTCAGGTCCAACATTTCTTGCAGGATCTACCTTCTGGTTGGATTACCGACTTTGAACAATGGAATTAAGTTTTTACAGCATTAAAAAAATCAATGAAGTAATAGATCAGTAATCATGGTTACTAAAACCATCAGATGAAGGCTGAACAACTTTATAATGCCAAGGATTATGCTGACAACTTTTGAACCTACTAATCAATCTTAATATCACAAGAAGAGAGAAAATGGGCTTATGTGCCCCCTGATGGAAATACTGTATACCACAGTACTTATGAGATACTCTTGCCAAAAAAAACCCTGAATTTGATCAAACCTCTATATCTAATAATTAGTTTATTAGAAATACAGCGGACAAGAGAATAAGTGACACCACAGGTATCTAATCAGCAAAATCTAGAAAATGGAAAATTCTGCCAGGTTTTCAGCAAATTAATTGTAAGAAAGAAAAGGGAAGGGCATCTTATAGATTAAAAGAGGTTTCAGGGACACAGTCACTAAATTCAGTATGTGCATCTTTTTTGAATTCCAATTTGAACAAGCCAGCTGTTTGAAAAAAGTATTTTTTTTACAGATAATTAAAAGATAGTTGGGGAAAATTTTGAGTGCTAATAGGATATTTTATGATATTAAGAAATTATTGGTTATATGCAGTGGCTCATGCCTGTAATTTCACCACTTTGGGAGGCTGAGGCAGGTGGATCACTTGAACCCAGGAGTCCAAGACCAGCCTGGGAAACATGGCAAAACCCTGTCTGTACAAAAAAAAAAAAAAACAAAAATTAGCCAGCTGTGGTGACACATGCCCATAGCCCCAGCTACTTGGCAGGCTGAGGTGGGAGGACTGCCTGAGCCCAGAAGTCAAGACTGCAGTGAGCTGTGATTGCACCACCGCACTCCAGCCTGGATGATGGAGTGAGACCCTGTTTCAAAGAAGAAGGAGAAAAGAAAGTATTAATCATTGTAATTTTAAGGATAGTAATGATATTACAGTTATTTTCAAAAGAGTCTTTTTATTTTAGAAACAAATACATTAAGACCAGGCATGGTGGCTCACACCTGTAATCCCAACACTTTGGGAAACCAAGGTGGAAGGATTGCTTGACGCCAGGAGCTCGAGACCAGTCTGGACAACATAGCAAGACCCTGTTTCATTAAAAAAAAAACAACCTTAAAAATTAGCCAGGTGTGATGGCACACCCCTGTAATCCCAGCTGTTTGAGAGGCTGAAGCAGGAGAATCATTCGAGCCTAGGAATTCAAAGCTGTGGTGAGCTCTGAGCCTGCCACTGCACTCTAGCCTGGGTGACCGTGAGACCTTGTCTCAAAAAAAAAAAAAAAAAAAACACACCTGTAATCCCAACACTTTGGGAGGCCGAGGCAGGCGGATCATGAGGTCAGGAGATCAAGACCATCCTGGCTAACACGGTGAAACCCCATCTCTATTAAAAAAGATACGAAAAGTTAGTCGGGCGTGGTGACAGGCGCCAGTAATCCCAGCTACTTGGGAGGCTGAGGCAGGAGAGTGGCATGAACCTGGGAGGCGGAGCTTGCAGTGAGCCAAGATCGCGCCATTGCACTCCAACCTGGGTGACACAGTGAGACTCCGTCTCAAAAAAAAAATAAATAAATAAAGAAGCACACAGAAGTATTTATGTACAAAATGATATGGGTTTGCTTCAAAATAATTCACAGCATGCTTGTACATATGTGGAGGGGGTGGAGGTAAGGGTGGTTAAAGCAAGATGGGCTGTGTTGATAAATGTTGAAATTGGATGGTGGGTATGTAGATGTTCATTATCCTATTCTCTCTACTTTTCTGTATGTTTGAAACTTTCCATGACGCAAAATTAAGAACATATATATATATATATAAGAATTTTTTTCCCTTCCTTCCACCCATCATCTCCAAAGACTTCACTGAAAGTGATTCCAGAAGATCTCTTGGGGTCCTAGGAAACTGTTTCTAAGTGATGTTTAATTTTAATGAAGCTCTTCCTCTGACAGTTGCAGTTGGTTTTATGTAACTGGACTGGGTCCTATCCATGAGGTTTCTTGGAATTCTAGAGTGTGAGGTCTATCAGATGGTTCCAGCATCCCAGAAAGCAGCGTCCTGCCCAGCCTCTGTTCTGAGCACTCCTCTCCTTGTGTTCTACAGATGCTGCTAATGGAAACAGTAGCCATGGAGGGAAGGGCAGTGCATCCAGCTCCACTCCAGCCCACACAGGGAATTACTCTTTGTCACCAAGACCTAGCTATGCATCAGGAGACCAAGGTACCATACCTGTCATAGAATTTTGTAATAATGCACTTACCTGGGATTAGAAGTGCTCCAGATTTTGTAATGAATTAGCTGGCAACATACTCTGGAGTTTTTTCTCAGCTCGTCATACAACGTTTTGAAAGTTTGTAATTGGTGTGAACGGTAATGAGTAAATATCTTGGGATTCTATATGGATGACCTAACTGGGAAATAATGTTGAAACAAATGTTTAAGGAAGTGTCTTGAAAAACCATGGGTGTAGCTGACCAAAGTACAGGATTCGAAGTTGTCTGTTGTGTGATCCTGGACAAATCTGAGCCTTCCTTTCTCCTTTTACAAAATGGGTATAACAACAATATTTGCCCTACAACACCACAAGGTTGTGGGTAGAATCAAATGAAATAAGCTACATAAACTTGGGAATTGTAAAACAACATACAGATGTTAAGTGGCTATTATTGTAATGTTAGGCTACTAATGTGGCTTTTTTTAAAACTTTACCTATAAAGGAGTGATTTAGACTTTCTGAGTATAATCAAATTAAAGGTTCTGTGTTACTCTGGCATTCTTTCCTTTCATCCACATGGCTGAGAACAAGACGATCTCTTTTTTTGTTTTTTTGTTTGTCTTCAGCTACCATGTTCATTTCTGGGCCACCAAAGAAACGACACCGGGGATGGTATCCTGGGTCACCTCTCCCCCAACCTGGCTTAGTTGTACCTGTCCCTACAGTTCGTCCTCTTTCAAGAACGGGTAAGATTTTAACATAAGATGGATCGTGAGTGTGTTTTTAATTCACAGAGATATCTTCTACTTCCATTCTTTCCCTGAACTCTTGAAGATGAGTTATGTGAGGAAATTGATAGTAGCTAATGTTTTGTCACGATCGTATTTGCCTTCCCTACACACACAAGATCATTACAACTGATCTGAATTCAACCTTTGACTTAGTTTTAACCCATAGCATTGAAAAGTCATTCATTATATGGGACACAATGCTACCAACCCACCATCATAGGGCATATATGGACTTGTTTTGCTAGTAGTGGTGTTAGATTTTCCCTGCTGTTATCTGGTTCTTTATGTGACCCATGCTTATTATTTCTGACCTGGATGGTTCAGTCTGTGGCTAGAAACCTGAAAAACCAAAACCAACTGGCTCTCTTTCAGAATATCTAACTGTAGCCATTTGGTGTCCACAGTTCAAACATTTGTCTACCTTGCTGAACAAACCACAGACGATTGTAAATAAACTGGTTCTAAGACATAAATGAGTTATTTAAATGTTTGTTTAAATAAATAGTTTTAAAGACTACATAGACATCTTATATACACAAATAATTATGCCAATCTATCACTATGGTTGCCTGTAGGAAGTACTGGTTAATGATGAATTCATCCTTCTTCACACTTTTCTACACCTTTCAAAATGTATGTAATGAACAGATATATGCCTTTGATAATCTCGGGGGGAAAGCTAAAATACCAAACAGGATCCAAAATATTGCATATGGAAAAAACAACTGGAAGGAGAGTCACCAAAATGCTAACTAGTAGTTATAGCCATATAATATGATTATGGTTAATTTTTTTCTCCTTTTGTTTTTTTCACTTATCACTTTACGTAATCAACTTAATGAAAAACACAACAAACCATTAGATTTCTAATACTTCTCTATTAAAAGTATTAAAACTGCATTGCTTTCTATTGTATTTCATTTAGTTTTCACATGTCATCTTTCTTGTCAAACTTTTTTTTTTTCCAGAGCCCCTTTTATCTGCCCCAGTTCCACAGACCCCACTAACTGGAATTTTACAACCCAGGCCCATTCCTGCAGGGGAAACTGTAATTGTTCCTGAAAACCTGCTGAGTAACTCAGGAGTTAGACCAGTAATTCTGATAGGTAAGGCAATGGAATTCCAAGTTGCCTGTGTCTGCTGGAATCTAGGAGTGTTTTTCCATTTCATTGTTTGTGTTTTTTCACATATTCATGAAGATATTCATCCATCTATTGATTCTTTCAGCTTTTATTGGCCTGCTCTTTCATGCTATATTAGGAGCTGAGGATAAGGCAAAGTCTTTTTGCCCTCAAGGAGCACTGTTTATTGGGGGAGTCTCACCTCCCATGAGCTACTAGGGTTGGTAAATAAGTGTTACAACTTATAGGCGATACCATTGTAGCACACTGTGACATGGAAGCTCCTTAGAGATTCACAACTGAGAGCAACCAGAACTCAGAGCTCTGAGAGAGGGCTTACCTCTGCCTGGAGGGGTCCGAGAAGACTTCCCAGAGGTCTTGGTTAAGCTGAGTCCTGAAGGTTGGTCAAAGTGGACAAGGTCGGGGAGGGGACATTCCAGTCAAAGGGAGCCAAACCGCAAAGAAATAAAACAAGCCAAGCCAGCTGACAGACCCTACTCAAGCGAACCAAGAGGCCCCACAGTTGCAGGTCTGAACCTTAGTATCTTTGAGGAGGCTGAGTCCTTCCAGGTGGTCTACAAGTGGAGGTATAGACATATAGGGGTCCCTACATTCCAGGACTAACTTAGTGCTTTTCATACCCATGTCAGGAGTCTCCTTGGTTTAGGGCTGCCCTAGGCCAGAAGGAGACTGCTCGCTCTACCTTTAGGACAAAATAGATAGGGTGTTTAAGGTCCCCACATCTTTAGGATGTGTTTACATGCAGTGTTATTTGCTTTTTGGGTTGGCCTGAGCCTGCCTAATTGGATGGTTTTCCTTCGAGTCATGTCCTTTACCTGGTTACTCTGTCTGCTAATCCTGGTTCTGTAGGTACTGAGGGGATCCCAGTTGCTTAAATGCTGTATGAATTAGGAAGCTCTTTTTGAACATTAACATAGTGCCACTAAGCTTTGAAAAGATGCATAGAACATGGGGACCCTTTGGTCCTTTGGTGCCTGCCTTTTAGAAAGTCTCACAGAGGGACTATCCTCGCCATCAACCACCAAAACAGGGCATATTTGGACACATTTTTTTCCTATCTATTTCTAAAACAATTTGAGACTGTTTACTGACATTTAGGAAGACAACCTCACAAAAATAGCTAAGATAACAAAGGAGCAGGGATCTCCAAGTGCCTGAAACTAGTAGAATCTTGCTGTTAATCAATAAATGTCGTTTACTTTTTTTTTTTTTTTTTTTAAGAAAATCTCAGTAATATCTCCAGGTGGATAGTGTCGGAAAGGAAAAGAAAGGGGAAAGGAAAGGGGAAAGGAAAGGAAATCTCAGGAAGTGAAACATGTATTGTTTGTTTCTGTTTTTGTTTTTTGTTGTTTTTTGAGACAGAGTCTCGCTCTGTCACTCAGGCTGGAGTGCAGTGGCACAGTCTGCTCACTGCATGCTCTGCCTCCTGGGTTCAAGTGATTCTTCTGCCTCCTGAGTAGCTGAAATTACAAGCGTGCACCACCACGCTCAGCTTATTTTTGTATTTTTGGTAGAGACAGGGTTTCATCATATTGGCCAGGCTGGTCTCAAACTCCTGATGATCTCACAATCTGCCTGCCTTTGGCTCCCAAAGTGCTGGGTTTACAGGCGGAGCCACACTGCGCCTGCTGTTTTTGTTTCTTTTTGAGATGGAGTCTCGCTCTGTCACTCAGCCTGAGTGCAGTGGCGCGATCTCCTCAGCTCACGCGCACCTCTGCCTCCCCTCGGGTTCCCGCGATTCTCTGCCTCAGCCTCCCATGTAGTTGCAATGCCACGGGTGCCTGGCTAATTTTTGTGCTTTAGTAGAGAGCTGCGGTTTCGCCTCTACTAAGGCAAAAATGTTTGGCCAGCTGGTCCGTGAATCTCCTGAACTCAGGTGATCACTCATTGCCTCGCCTACCAAAGTGCTGGGATTCAGGGCTGAGCCCACTGTGCCCACCGTATTCTGTCATTTGTTGTTTTTCTGATTTCTATCTGAAAAATAAAAACTTGATCAGTGGACTTTATCAGAAATATTTTATCATGTGCAGTTTTACAGACGATACAGACATGTTTTGCGCAAACTCATCAACCTTCCGGCAAAATATTAACATGGTCCGCTTCCATGATGAACAGAGATATATGAGTACAGTTGGTCCCTTAGTATCCCTGAGGATTGATTCCAGGCCCCATCCCATATAAAATTGGAATGATCCTCCAAGTCCTCAATATAAAATGGCACTAGTAATTATTGCATAAACTATGCACCATCCTCCCCATATACATTAAACCACCTCCTCATTGCTGTAATGTCTTATTACAGCTCCTACACATCACGTCATTCACGTGAATTCAGCACCGTAACTACTCAGCGCCACACACAGCAAGTTCAAGTTTCCACGTTCTTGGAACTTGTGGGAACTTTGTTCCCCCTGACTATTCAGTCACGCGTTGATGAATGTGAACCCACAGATACAGAGGCAATCGCTGTAATTTCTTGCGTTTCCTGGTCATTTCAATTTATATAA